TGGAGACTTGGACCTGATTTGTGTCGGTCAAGTCTGTCACACACTTGGAGACCTGGTCCTCATACGTGGGCTCTGGATGTAGATTTAAAGATGAGGGGGTAATCTGGGATCCCCCTCCATTCCCCGTTTTCTCCAACCTCTCTGCAAACCTGAAGGTCAAAGGTCAGACCCTTCCAAGCTCTCAGTGATCAAACACTCAGCCCCCAGCGGACGCCAAATGACCGTTAAATCAACCGTTCCATCACAGCGGAGACCGTGAGGGTCCATCAGAGGTACACTTCCTGTTTCCTGGTCCTGAGGGTGACGTATGGACCCGTCAAATAAAACGGACCCTGGCGGTCTGGACTCATGAACGTGGATCCTGGTCAAACACAAACTCATTGATTGGTCGCGTGGGTCACTTGGGAGTCTGGAGGACCTGCGTATAGGTCTGAGCTGAAACCGGCGCTCTATAGTCGCCCCAGTCGATGTCCCTCATTGAGCGGGGCCGCGGGACGTGGCAGCCTGTGAGCGGGTCGACGGCTCAGCCCGGTTCTGGTTCTGGTTCTGGTTCTGGTTCTGTGGTTTCAGAGGATGGTTTAGTTTAGGTTGATCCAGTTCACGGGCCGAGCGTGTTTATCAGAGGAGAAAAACCATTTATTATCAGTTTCCTGTATGAGAACCTTCATGAATCAATCCTCAGACAGATGAACAAACACTGAAGCGCCTCGGTGATTACTCCAAATAAACCCCAGCAAACGCACACACACTTATATATACACACTAACACACACACTTACACACACTCACACACTCTTCTGCAGACCAGTCTGTTTAGATCTTTAGTCCCTCACCACAGCGGCTGTAAATAAACCCCAGAGTTCCTGACTGAAGGTCACAGACTGTTTGATACCAACGTTAGTCTCTGACATGTTAGACTAATGTCGTACTTCAGCTCACATCCTCACTCGCCGTTTTAAACCCATCAATAAAAAACAGACTGAAACAAGAACCTGACCAAGACCGTCACCTGGTTCACTGGCTGAGTTTAAACATGACAAACTGTGAGACGATATGATGTTTGATAATGAGAAGATGAGGGATGATAGGATATGAGACGAAAAGTTATGATCAGGTACAGTTAAGATTCATTATGATAAAATACACTTAAATACATTATACTAAGACATGAGACCATGAGATAATGTAGGATATGATATAATATGATAAAGTATGATACGACATTTGATGAGAAGATCAGGGATGATAGGATATGAGAAGATAAAGTACGACACGAAACTTTACAATACGATAAATTATAATATGATATGAGACCATGAGATAATGACTATATAAAAAAGATTAACTACAATAAGAGATATACACAACATGATAATACAATAAAGTACAATACAATGAGATGAGGTAGGATATGATATAATATGATTAAGTATGACACCACCTGTTCGGTATCACAGTTATTAATCTTGTAAGTGCTCCAAAGGTTCATGAATCAGTGATCTGAGTTTCTGTTTGGACCTCCGTCTGTATTTAACAGAAAGTTTATATTTGACTCTGGCATATCAATAAATCAATAACACTGATCAGAATGATCATGTATTATTGACATTCATCCACATTCATCTATAATGGCGATAGATGGACCTGTTTTTTTTTGTTGCATGTGTGTTGTTGTAAAGTTGTCTGTGTTTTTGGACAGTTAGCCTCTCGCTAACCTGTTTGTTGATTGTTTTGATGCGCGATGTGACACGGTCCAATAGTAATGAGCTTAAACGAGTTTGTAGCCACATGGTGGAGATGGACATTCTTGTGTTTTTGTGACGAGGACATGAATCTTTAATCCAAACTGAGAGAGTTGATGTGATGTTGTTTCCTAAGCAGCTGAAAACTCCCTACTGGAGCTTTAAACAGAGATTTTCTAACCTCACCTGTCCTGTCGCTGTTTTCTACCTTGAACAGTTTCTCATCTTTTGTACTTTGAGAACTTTTCTCTCATCTTTTTGTCTAACTCTAACTCTCTCATTGTGCTGCACTTACCTGGTAACCACAGGTTTTAATAGAGCTTGATAAATGAGGCATGGACAGGTGAGTGTGTGTAAATATCAGCTGTGTATTTCAGTAATTGATAATCAAACATTAGAGGAACACGCTGTCTTAAACTGTCATGTGACGGCAGGTTCAGGCCGCTCCTCGACCTTCTTCCTTCACCTGTTTAATGTCACAGCTCAGGTGTTGACAGACACACGACGAGGATTTCTGAGAGTCTGATCCAAAAAACAAAAGATTCAAGAACGAGTGAGTGGAGAAAAACTAGAGAGGATGGAGGAGAGGAGGATGTGGACCAGTGTCAGCATAGATGTATTAACAGTAGATGTCATGACTGCTGAAAAGTAAACAGAGCGAGTCTATTTGTCTTCATAATTAGTTCTTCACAGCTGGTTTTTCTTCTTCTTCTTTCTTCTCTCTCTCTCTCTTATTACCCTTCCCTCCTCTCTCTCTCTCTCTCTCTCTCTCACTCTCTCTCTCTCTCTCTCTCTCTCTCTCTCTTTTATTATCTCTCCTTTTTCTGCTCTTTTCTTTCTTTCTCTTCTCGGCCTGTGTTGTGAAGCCAAGGCCGTTTCTTCCTCAGACCGCGCTCTTGAAAGGCTATTCATGGATTCTTCAATGAAACCCTATTACATTTGTGTGTGTGTGTGTGTGTGTGTGTGTGTGTGTAAGAGAGAGAGAGAGAGAGAGAGAGAGAGAGAGAAAGGGACGAGGAAGGAGAAATAAAGAGAGGGAAAGGTATTCTGGGGGCCGGGCTACAGTACCATCTGTATGCAAATCTGTTCAGACTTTGGTAAACTTTGATCAAACACTCAGGCCTCCTTTTCTCCTCTGCACACACACACACACACACACACACACACACACACACACACACACACACACACACACACACACACACACACACACACACACACACACCGCCTCTGTCCACTGCTCTGCAATTACTGTAGCTCCGCAGCTCCTCTTTGTGAAGGAAGGAGGCTGCATATTAGTCAGCTAGGGCAACGGGTTCCCTCGAGGAACTGCCCCCCCAAAATAAATACACACACACTCACACACACACACAAACACACACACACACGCACACATGTTTTCTGCCCCAGTACCCCCTGATACCCTCCCTGTATCGGCCTAATCTTCTCTACCTACCAAGACCCAAACACACACCATTTCCGAGCACCTGCGACCACGCTGGACCCCACAACAGATGGTGACACCCCCCGATTACACACATGCACACACACACATGTAAATACACACACACACACACACACATGTAAACACACACACTCCTAACATGGATGCTGGCAGAAAAGGAAGACAAGTGTGGCGCATGGGTGATGGGCATGCCTTTGTGCAGAGGCTGGGCACACACTTGTTTATCCACACACACACACACACACACACACACACACACACACACACACATTAAAGCCATTGTTTCCTCCATATGGGGAGGTTAGCACTGGATCCAGATCCAGAGTCCAGATCCACATTTAACCCTCGAACACTAAAATCAGTAACACCATCACTGTCACTATCAGGTGATTTTGACCTGAAATAATAAACCCAAGAAGAAGTCCTTGTCATCAAAATAGGACAAAACATGAGAAATTAAAGTAGTTTTCTTTATTTTTAACTGTGTAACCCACCCAAACCTACTTTACCCTCCATCACTAAAATCAGCCTGTCTGTAGATAAAAACGGAACAAATCTGACACTAGGACACAACAGTAGGACACAAGGACTCTAAAGTAGGACACTAGGACTCAATACTTAGACACTAGGACTCTACAGTAGGACACAAGGACTCTACAGTAGGACACTAGGACTCTATAGTAGGACACTAGGACTCAAGAGTAGGACACTAGGACTCTAAAGTAGGATTTTATGACTTTACAGTAGGACACTAGGACTCTATAGTAGGACACTAGGACTCTATAGTAGGACACTAGGACTCTATAGTAGGACACTAGGATTCTACAGTAGGACACTAGGACTCTATAGTAGGACACTAGGACTCTACAGTAGGACACTAGGACTCTACAGTAGGACACTAGGACTCTACAGTAGGACATTAGGACTCCACAGTAGGACTCTTGGACTCTATAGTAGGACACTGGGACTCAATACTTTGACACTAGGACTCTATAGTAGTACACTAGGACTCTACAGTAGGACACTAGGACTCTATAGAAGAACACTAGGACTCTACAGTAGGACACTTCAAAGATGTCCGTGGAAATGCTGAAGCTACCCAGGGACCCATGATACTCAGACAAACACAACATCACTAAAATCACGTAAACGTGTTTGGTCAATAGTCTTCTAGGGTTAATGATGTTGTTGTTGTCAGTGACGAGGACCTCCAGAAAACAAACACAAACACGCTTCATGTCCGAGCCGAGCCGCTCTCATGCACACCCGTCCGTCAGTGGGGTGTAAGCCCATTAGAGCGGTGTCGTGTGTGTCTGGGCAGCGACAGCCAGGCTCTCAGTGGGCAGAAGGATAATGGGTATTAATCAGGGAAAAGCCACGACCATATGTCTGTTTAACGCAGGAGATGGCGACTCGCTGGACGTCAGCGCCCCTCTAAAACAATTAGCCCTGTTTGGAGGGTGGAGAGCTTAACTGGAGCTGAAGCGTGTGAGCATATTAGTGTGTGTGTCACCGGGTTAGAGAGAGAGAGAGGGTGTCTTTTCTGTTTGTTCAGTACGGCGAGCGTGGGCGGAAAAAGTGTCAGCGGGCACGGCGGGGATTTGAGTGTGATTCTGTACGTTAGAGCAACAGGAAACAGAATTATCTCTGAGTTTAATCTCTTATTAAAACGTTCGATAATCTCAGTTTGGGCAGGCGTGACAAGAACTTTGTTCACAAGGAACACAAAGAAATTTAGGGGAACAATGAAAACTGATCAGATAATGTTTTTCTTATTGGTCGACATAAATACTATTATTTAAAATCAATTTTAGGTCTTTTGGTCACATGACAGTGAAGCTATTGAAGGAAAACAGCCTTTTCTGAGAACATCAACCAGTAATTTATTGACGGTCCCTTATTCAACACCGACGTTGACAGTGAGGGTGTCGAGTAGATTTAACCGCGCTGCTGTTGTTATTCCCGGTTATGGAGAGTGAGAAGACACCGGTAGATCCTCAGAGAATGTCCGTCAGATATCCAACCTGAAACTAACTTCACCGCCGTATTTACAGGAAAATATATCCAACCTGAAACTAACTTCACCGCCGTATTTACAGGAAAATATATCCAACCTGAAACTAACTTCACCGCTGTATTTACAGGAAAATATCTCCAACCTGAAACTAACTTCACCGCCATATTTACAGGAAAATATATCCAACCTAAAACTAACTTCACCGCCGTATTTACAGGAAAATATCTCCAACCTGAAACTAACTTCACCGCCGTATTTACAGGAAAATATATCCAACCTGAAACTAACTTCACCGCCGTATTTACAGGAAAATATATCCAACCTGAAACTAACTTCACCGCCGTATTTACAGGAAAATATATCCAACCTAAAACTAACTTCACCGCCGTATTTACAGGAAAAAACGTTTGTTGCCTCAGCTAATTTTTTCTAAATAAATTTTACTATATGACACATCTATTTTTAGACGCAAATGTGAGTGAAACGGTCGTACTGTCGAACCCTGGATTAGGAGAAAAAACGTCTCTTGATGTTTTTTCATGAAACTTTCATGAGGATGTTTTTGTCCATGAACTTGTTTTTATCCTATAACCAAGCAGGATAAGCCATCAGGCAGATGGTTAGGGGAAGTCCCACGAGAGGACACACACATACACACACACACACAAAGATACTAGACTCCTGTCCCATGTACACACACACACACACACACACACTTGCCCAGTAAGTGCGCACAAAGACACCAGACCCACCAGACTCCTGTTATGTAATCCACCAGTTCCACTCCCCCCACCGAGAGGCTCAGGCTTGGTCTGTCTCAGCTCCAAAACAAAGTCATCAGTCTTGGTTAGAGAGGACACACACACACACACACACACACACACCTCTTCATCATCATCATCACCATGAGGAGCCTGCTCTTCTTCTTCTTCTTCTTCACTTTTTACAAACGGGGAAAATTTGAGTGTTGGTTCAGAGGGAAAAAAAAGGCTCGCTCTGCCTTCTGCTCGCTCGTTTCTTTCGGGGATAAAAAGGATTAATCAAAGTCATCAACAATGTGTGTTTTTATGTCCCGTTAATTCCCTCCTCGCCGAGTCTCTTTCTCCTTCCCTCTGTGAACACACTGTTGGGCTGAAAAGCTACTCAGACCGTAGCAGCAGATTTCTCTTTCAGCCATCTCCAAAAAAACGCCCGGCCAGACTCCCGAGTGGCACATTTTTGGGTTTAGGCCCAGCAATGGAGGCGCAGAGGGGAGGAGAAAGAGGAGGAGGAGGAGGAGGAGGAGGAGGAGGAGGAGGAGGCCAGAGCCATGTGGCTGATGTTGGTAAACAGTATCCAGCCTCGTCCTGGCACAGTGGCAGGCAGCGCACAACGCCGCCGAGATCAGGCGCCCGGGCCACACACAGACCGGGACAAAAGGTAGACTCACATACACACATTTGCATTCATACCCACACACACACACACACACACACAGACACACACGGGCAGAAATACACAGACTACTAACAGACAAATAAAAGACTCACTCTCGGTGTCTGCCACTCAGCAGCTGCTCCAGTTTCCATGGAAACGGCTTGAACAATGTAGTAGGAAGGGCTGCGCCGGTGAGGGAGGGAAACAGAAATAGAGAAAGAGAAGAGAGAGAGTGTGTGTGTGTGCGTGTGTGTGTGTGCGAGCAGAGCACTTGAAGTGTGTGTGTGTGTGTGTGTGTGTAGGTGTGTGTGTGGGTGGGTGTGAGAGGCTACAGAGGGGGAGGCAGCCGCAGGGTGCTGAGACAGAGAGGATTCAGAAGACACTCTTTATTTCTTTGTCAGGACGAGTCTTTCTGAGCGGGAAAACAAAAACAGAGAAATCAGAGAGAGAGAGCGAGGGGGGCGGGGTCAAAACAGAGGTCAAAACATCCACCCAGGCAGGAATTACGGTTTTATGATGTCTATTTATTTTTCAAAATGAGGTATTTCAAAGTGCTATGAGTTGCAGCACTAAATGTACATTTTAAAAGTGAAAAAAACAAACATCTTTATATCCGTTTACCCAGTTCTATGCACCCGATAGTTACAAATATAAACAAAAGGAGAAGAAGAAGAAGAAGAAAGTAAAAAAGGCCAGGTACATGATAGAGCTGATTTCTGTCTGTACAAAAGAGTCATCATCATTATTATTTCAGAGAGGAAGAGGAGGAGGAGGAGGAGGAAGAGGAGGACCAGATAAAGTGATATTATCTACTGAGAACTCATTTTCATACGAAAATATAAGTATCAAATTTAGTATGTATCAGGTTCACACTAAAAGCATAAAGGTGTGTAGAATTAGTAATATGATACAATACAAAGAAATAAAGGAGAAAAAAAAAAACAATATATTGTTATATTACAAAGTTCATGACCCTCCAAAATGGAGGCTTTACAGTACTTTAAAGGTTTATAAACTTCCAGTCTAGTTATTGGCAGCTTCCTGAAAAACATGTATATATATATCAAAAAAACAAGGACGACAAATGTTTTACAAAACAAGGCAGATCTGAGTGTATTATTCTGTCACTGTACACTATTGTTATGTACAAAAGTGTCGGCTAACAAGGTGCACAGGTATACATCCACTGAACTTGGTTTGAGCACCAGTGTGAGCGAGCGAGCGAGGGAGTGAGAGAGTGAGAGAGGACCTGGAGTGGCATCTGTGAACGAGAGCGCCTCAGAAAAAAGTCTCTTCAGTTTCAGTTTGTTTTTTTTTTGCAGTGGTGAAGGCAAAAGTTACGTAAGTGTGCACTGCTTCTTGTACATGAACTCCCCAAGCAAAGTGCCCTTAGACATCCATCCATCATGTGGGAATCCCTCCGATCCCCGGCTGGTGTCACAGTGAGTACAAAAACAACAACAACAACAACGACAACGACGACAACACAAAAATAAAAAAACAACAACGAGATACAAAAAAAAAGAAATGATATAAAAACCCGAGGAAGGGGAAGAACCTCCAAAAACAAGTCCTCTCTCCTTCCTCGTCGTTCCTCGGTGTGACTGAATTGAAAAAGTAAAACCCTAAACATTCTTAACGTCAACAAATGTGCAAAAAAAGTGGCGGCAGTGAAAGTCCGAGCGTCCCTGCGGCCCCGCCCCCTTCGCCTCCTGCAGGTGTGTGTGTGTCGCCTGAAGATTAACGTCCTCTGAGATGAACAGGTCTGCAGGCCCACGTGTGTGTGTGCTTAAGTTTATAGGCCTCCGTGTGTGTGTGTGTGTGTGAGTGTGTGTTCTTGCAGGGCGGGGTCAAACAGGGTCTGTGTGTGTGTGTGTGTGTGTGTGTTCCCGTCTTGTAGTGGTTGTCCGTTAGCGAGTCCGTGTCTGCTCCAGCCGCCTCATCAGCTGTTGGCGGCGCGCATGCAGACGCTCCTTCTCCTGCTGCAGCCTCATCTCCTCCGTCTCCAGCGAGCTCACGTACTCGGTGGCCTTCTTCAGGATCAGGACCTTCGCCGCCTTCTCGTTGTGCGCCAGCTCCGGCACGTGGTCGCGCAGAGTCAGGAAGCTGGAGCGCAGGTCGTTGCGGCGCTGGCGCTCCAGGATGTTGTGGTTGCGCCGGCGCTCGCTGTCCTCCGAGTCGGAGCTGCCGCGCGGGCTGCTGTCGCCGCTGGCGCTGCGTTTGCTGCGCGCCCCCGACATGCTGGTGAAGGAGCTGCAGGACGTGGAAGACGACGAGGATGAGGAGGAGATGGTCCTCGTTGGGGGGCGTGGGGCGTCTGATGTCTTCTGCTTCTTTGGAGGCGGGGCGGGGTCGTCGTCTGAGGCGTACGGCGAAGGCGCCGCGTAGTTGTGTTGCTGCTGGTGGACTGAACTCCTCTTCAGAATCAGCTCCTGGGGGGCCCGGCTGACGAATCGACCCACCTGACCCCCAGACCCTGAGATCACGGCCCTGGACTCTTGGCTTCTCGGGTGCACAGAGACGGTGACGCCTCCCGTCGTCATGGGCGACGCCTTGCTGGCTGTAGAGCGCCTCTTCTCTACTGTGACCACATCGATCTCCTCCTCCTCCTCTTCGTCCTCCTCTTCATCCTCCTCATCCTCTTCCTCGTCTTCTTCATCTTCTACTTCTTCTTCTTCTTCTTCATCGTCGTCGTCATCTTCCTCTTCTGGAGACAGAAAACAGAGTTAGTGACTCAGTCGCTCTGACAGACCAAATATTCCCACAATGCCGTGTATGTGCACCAGCAGGTGACAGGTATGTGTGTGAGAGTGAATGTACAGTATCTGTGTGTGTGTGTGTGTGTGTGTGTGTGTGTGTGAGCAGGAGTGTTGCCCAACGCTGTTTTCATAAGCAGAGCCTCTTAATGCTTAGTGTCAGTCACTCCTCCGTTAATCTCGCCTGCAGGCGTTGACATGTTGAGTCTCAGACTCGAACCCTCCTGCAGAACTTCTCCTAATCTTCTCCACCGAGACGAGACGCCTTCAGAGTCTCTCAGAGAACTTCGCTTTAGTTTCGGCGGCATTAAGGAAAGTACGCTTGAACTTTGACCTCTGATGAACCAAATTTAGGAGGAAAGTCGAACTTCTGGTCGAGCTTCATCAGTAACACTTTAACGCCTGAAACCACAAACTAAAACGGTTATTTACTAAAAGAATCAAAATGTCCTTCAAATTTGACAAATTTATTGATCTGGTTTGATTCATTCGATGTTTTTGGACACTGATGAACTACAAGGACATTTGATCATTTATCGACTGTATTGATTTGATAAAAGTCTGTATAAATATGACACTAAAGGGTTAAACCCTCTGAAATGAGAGCAGCTGAGGTTCCTCATGGACTCTGAAGATGAGAGCAGAAATGAGAAATGTCTTTGTGATGATGGCGGCTCTCATTATCAGCTCAGGAGCATGAGAAGAGTGTGGCATTTTACAGCTTACAGTAACCCACTTCAGACACCGGGACGCTGCCTCACACACACACACACACACACACACACTCACACTCACAGTCTGGCTGCTGCCATCAAAACAAAGCTGGGCACAGCTGGCTGGATGAGGGGGCGTGGCCCGCCTGCCACATGTGAAGCTCTGATTTGTCCTGTTTGGTGTTTGTTCTGTTTCTCAGAATCAGAAACTCTCTGACTGAAGCTGGTTTGTAAAAATAGAAGAAAGGATCAACATTTCTGTGCATGGAGATAAAATATGAGCCTCCAGCAGAAGATAAGATCTTCTTTCAAGGCGTCAATTCCGTGTATCCCCCCCTCCACCAAGGCCTCTTTAATAGATCCTGGTCTTGATACGGGACTAAAGCCTTCCAAATGCCCCTCTTTGATGAGAAAACCACACAAAGCAGGACGCGTCTTAACGCTGCGAGCGGCGGAAGCGCATTTGAACGCCCCTGGATTGTGGCGGTGCGGCAGGCGATCTGATCACCACCACCACCGCCCCCCCTTTTTAAGCCTCGGAGCTGGAGCGGCGCCAGGGAGACAGCTGTCGGGATGGAGCGCTTGTTTCAAAGCTGTCACCCTCCCCTTAAAAGAGAAGAAGAAGAAGCAGGAGCAGTCAGCCAGCCTGGGCCCTCCTCCGTGCTCCCTTTTCTTCTCTTTGGAGGAGGTGTTTGGCAGGGCTGCCTCAGTCTGCCCTCTGTGCCAAGCTGGAGGCCTTTGTACTTCTGTTTCACAGCGAAAACACGCTGATAAGCGCCCGTGAGTGTTTGTTTAGGGAACTCAGAGGCGGTAATAGATGGGAGGTGAAGTCTCGGGGCGATTAAATGCGCACAGACAGACAGACAGACAGACCTCCTCCGAATAAACGCTTCCTATGACACCTCCAAATAATGAGAGGAGACACGCGCCGGTGTGGACTCCTCCTGGTGTGTGAATTTTCTGACTCCTCTCGGTTAATTTTGCTCTAAACGTCTCAGTTTGTTCACACTAAGTCCAAATCAGTGCCAATTTCTCCCCCACTGTGCGTAAATTGTCTCCTGATCCACGCGTAATGAGAGCAGTGGCGCGCCGTGAACCTGACACTTTCTCATCATCTCATCACATGACTGAACACCTTTTCATGTCTCCTCTGTAAGGACCCGGACCTGCTGCCGTCCTCTCGGACTCTCTGCTCTCTTTTTGTTTGGCTCTGATGCCAACTGAGTTCAAGAAGGCGCACAGCTCCTCTTTTTACCGCCATCTGCCGGAGGAAGAGCCCGCTGATTACATAAACCCCGTTCACTGTGTCACTACACTCCAGTGTGTGTGTGTGTGTGTGTGTGTGTGTGTGTGTGTGTGTGTGTGTGTGTGTGTGTGTGTGTGTGTGTGTGTGTGGAATGTAACGAGATAATCCGATTCCGGGCCGGTCATATGAACAAGCTCCGATCAGACCGATATCAACAACAACAACACCGACGCTGCGTGAACAGCGTGACTCTTCAGTTTGCGTGAATCTCTCTCAGGAAATCAAAACAAAAGGCTCGAGCGCATCGTCAGCAGACTCTTACCGGAATCACTGTGGCTGCTCGCGTGCGTCGTGGCCGTGGTAACGGTCCCGGTTGAGTCTCTGCTTCCGTTCTTGTGGACCGGGAAAGGGAAGACAACAGTGGGGTCCACGCACTCTGACACCGAGCTGCGGCTCACCACCTCCGGCGCCTTGACGCACACGCTCCTGCCGCTGCCGCCGCTGCTGCTGCTGCTGCCGCCTCCTGCGGCCGTGGAAATAGCCTTTCCGAGTTTCTCCGTGACCACCCGCTCCAGCTTTTCCCTCGCGGAGAACCCACTCCACATACAGTCCTGGAGAATGATGCTGTTGGGGTTAGTAGTATCCATAACTGAGCCGAACAGGTCCCCATCGTCGGACGCCCCCCAGATATCGTCCTCCGGCAGCAGCAGGAGCTCAGAAGCCCAGTCCAGAGGGTCCCCCAAGCCGAAGCCGAGAGGGTCTACTTCCGGGGAGGCAGTCGCCGGCTCCCCCGGTAGCGCTGCTCGGCTCGGGGAGAGGGGCGGAGTGGGCAACAACTCGAATTTCTTCCAGATGTCCTCCCCCGGTGGCGCAGAGTCGGGACCACAGAAGTAGAAGTCGTCCTCGTCCGGGTAGAAACACGGCTGTAAAGAGTCAAACTCCAGGTCGGAGTTTTTACTGATGATCGCCGGCATTCTATCCCACAACCGAAAAACCTGGAGAGGGAGAAGAAGAGACGCGTTAGCCCCCCACAGACACTCGGATCAGCCCCACTCTCACACCTGAAAACCACTCCTGAGTCTGAGCCCACACACAGACACTCAGTCTGCTCCACCAGATTCCACACTCACCGCTCCGTGGGCTTTAAAAACCGCACAAATCTCAGAGGGGAATGTGCGTAAATGTGACCGTGACGCACAAACTCGCTGACCACTCCACGGGAGAACTCTCCACAACACGGATCAGGGTTTAAAAACGGCGTGTGTACACAAAATCACAGAGAGTGACAACAATCAGGACAAACAGGAGAAATGAAGGAGAGGAGGAAGAGGAGGTGAAGGAGGAGGAGGAGGAGGAGACGCTCACCTTGATCAGACTCGGGTTAGTGTCTCGCGGACCAGTCCTCCTCGTATCTCACAGTCAGTCAAACAGAGAGCAGGTTTGGAGCGCTCATCTACTCTGGGAGCACAGACAGTCCTCTGACACACGTTGTGGCTGACTGCAGAGTGTTATACACTCAGTTCTGCGGGAGGAGAGATGACTCCTCCCACTTAGGCTGGGAGGGGAGGGGGGGCACAGTCAGGCTCGGCGCGGGAGAAGAAGAAGAAGAGGAGGACAGGCAGGCTGGGAGCTTTTCTTTCAAGGTGAATGGAGAAAATAGTCTAAACATGAGAGCAAGAATGAAAAACAGCAGAGAGGTGGTGTGAGGAGGAGAAGAAGAAGGAGAGGACATGTCTTTTATTAACAGCCTCAGGAAAACCGTTTTCCCTCTCCTCCTCCTCCTCCTCCTCCTCCTCCTCCCATCTCAGGATGAAGATCAGCTCTGAAACAGTCGAAGAAGAAGCCCGGAGGCTCTCAGTGATTTGATGCTTCAGCCTCTTTGCTCAAGGGCATCTCAGCAGCCTGGATGTAGAGCTGACCTGAGGGCTCTAACCGTCCTGATGTTCAACATCACCTCCAGATATCAGACATTGATTTATTGGACAGAAACAAACACTCTGTCTCCTGCCTGAAGGATCATCTTTAAAATAAACTCTGAAATAAATGATTAAAACAAACACACTTCTGTATCCACACTCATAAACCTGCTCCTCTCACTATCAGTCTCTCTTTTGTCTGAGGGCCACCAGCATCCCTGGATGAGCCCAAGGAAGGCTCACTGCGCCCCCTCACGGACACTCGGAGCACTGCGCCACATTTACGCACGGCGCCTCCGCAAACAGCGGAGCAGACAGACAAAGACAAGGAGCAAAGACGCGATTTCAAGCCCAGAATTTCACGAGAAAAAGCCACGAACACGTGAGAATGAGTGGGGAAGGTTCCTGCGCGGTGATGTTGAACGTTTCCTCAGACAAAGGCGGAGAGGGAGCGGGGCTGTTTTCAGCTGCTGTCTCCGGGATGAGACAGGATCCGAGAGGCGCAGATTACGTAACCGCGAGCGGTGGTTGTAGCCTGGAGTCATTCCCATTCCCTTTTCTAATGACAGCTTAGGAGGGATGGTGCATCTGTAATTATGGCGTACACACACACACACACACACACACAGTCCCTGATATTGACATATTCAGAGAAAACCTTTGTAGAAGCTGAACTCTGACTGTGAGGGAGGAAGTGATCCAAAATATCAGGATCCAAACTGAGAAAACAGGCTCAGATTTTTACATAGATGTTGTTTTTCGATCCTGATTTAGTGAGAAATCCACATTTTTCTCTCTGTCCTCTGCTTGGGGTCGACTTCAAACGCCCAACAGTCAGTGAAAAGTGAGAATCTGCAGCTGTTGGGTCCTCTGAGCGGGGATAGCAGGGAGTTTCCTGGGACTGGCCTGTGTCGGCTCCCAGGAACTGGAGAGGGGAAGATGGTTTGGGAGTCAAAAAACTCCCCACAGGCTCCTCTCCCATCCCATCTTCTCTCTCTCTCTTCTTCTCTTTTCTCAAACTCCTCTCTGACCCTCCTGCAGCGGCGGCGGCGGCGGCAGCAGCTTCCTCTGCTGTGAAACAGGGCAGAGAGTGGGAGTGAGAACAGAAGGGAAAGGACAGGAAGCTGTGTTGTACTGCTGCTTGTTTTTGTGTGCGGCAGCAGCAGAGTAAACACTCAAGGAAATAAGCAGATGGACGGATGGATGGATGGGGGGATGTTGGCTCCACGCTTGTTTTTGGAGGGCACTTATATTCACACACATTTGCACACGTTCATGCACTAAAATGCTCCAGATGTTGATGTGATTATTGTGTGTGGTTAATGCTCATTTGTATTCATGACAGAAAAGCTCGTCTTCTCCATCTATAGTTTTCTCTAAATGAGATTATTTTGTTGTCGAGGTCCAACACGGTGAAAATGTGTCTCCTTTGCATAAATAAAGTCCATTATATCAGAGACAGAGAGACCTCATGAAGGGGGCAGACCTTTTAGATGTGGACCAGTACTCACTGGCGTCCCCGCTTGTTGTTTTTATGTCCATTATGGCGTGCCCAGTCCCCCCCCCCCCCTCCATTCACCACTGGACTGGGACACGGATGGTTAAGCAATTAGGGCAGTTTTGATAAAAGATTCATAAGTCACCCCGGTGGAGAGAGCAAAGACAAGCATGTTGTCAGTAAAACCTGCTGCAGTGACACCAGGACCGGCTGTGGAGGGTCAGAGAGCGCGGCCCCGCTATCAATATTGGAAATGTGTGTGTGTGTGTGAGGGCGTGAGGCTTCCTTTGATGTCTTTGTTGTGTTTTCAGCGCTCACATGAATAAATAGTGCAGGTAGTCGCCACATAACCTCAGCTCACACTTGGCGTGTAAATATTCAGAGAGAGGAGGGAACATCGTGTTCGCCGCTTCAATCTGACATTTGCTGCTCTTCTTCTTCTTCTTCGTTGGTGTGTGTGTGTGTGTGTGTGTGTGTGTGTGTGTGTGTGTGTTCTGCTTATATAACTCCTTATGCAAATGAAAGCTTATATACATACAGACTATGTACTTTAAAACGACTTCATAGTAAAATAAGATATTCCTTTAACGGTCCCACAGGGGAGATTCCAGTTTACAGCAGCAAGAAAACAGAAACAGAGAAATAAAAGATAAAGAAACTGACAGTTAAAAAAAAAAGGATATTTACACCAAACAGAGCAGTCTGACTCTGACTCCTTCAGAATTGATCATATTAATATTTACTTAAACAGCTGATCTTTAAAAAAAACAGGCTGTTGGTTTAAAACATGTCGGTATTAAAGGGATATTCAGGCGTAAAATTAATTTAGGGTCAAACACACCGTAACACCGAGTTAGACACCCCCCCATTTCCATGCAGAAATGATCATAAATGTTCTTCCTTGAGCTGCGGCACCCCGCTGTAGTCTGTAATGGACAAACAAGCGTCTGCTGGAAGAGAGTAGGTGAGTTGTGTTTAGTCTCTTTGTTAAAGAAATGAGTCAAAGTTAAAAAGATGTTTGGTGTCTAGTACTATGTCTGTGACCCTATATGTCCTGTTGATGAAGTTAGGTGCTGTTCTGAGCATTATTTGTGGTTATAGAGTGGCGTTTTGGTTGGGGGCGTGGCTCTCTGTTAATTTTACGCCGGAATATCCCTTTAATACCCGCCAACACCTCAGGTTTTAAAAATAACAGTGTTGAAATCATCAGGCGGTTCTGTTTGGACTTATATTTATTTAAAAGACTTGGTCTAATAAAGTGTAAATGCAGTTCTGGTCTTGGACCTGGTCTTGGACCTGGTCTCGCCTGTTCAGGGTCTGTCTAAGACATTAAGTCTCCTCTTCTTTAATCACGTCTGTCAGATTCTCTGTGTTTGTCCATGATCCACATCATTACATCTCAGCTCCAGCGAAACCTCCACCCTAAACACAGACTACACCCTCACCCCCTCACCCCCTCACCTTCACCTCACCCCCTCACCTTCACCTCACCCCCTCAGCCTCGCTTGAACACCCCCGATCACCTGTAGTCCTGGTCTCGGTGTCGTTTGTCTCTTTGATTTTTTTGGATAATGAGACAGATTTGTGATGTTTTGGTTTATTTCTAATTTTAGTATTTTGAATGAATGAATGAATGAATGAATGAATGCTTCATTTCAAACATGCAATAAATAAACAAAACAGAACAGAGGTAGAAACCAACACATGTTTACCATAAACAACAACCTGCATGTGTCGCTGATCTACATGTTCGAACAGGAAGAAGTTCACAGAATCAGAACCAGAAATACTTTAATAACCCTCTGGGGGAAATGACTAAAGTTACAAGGAAGACGTAAAAAAGTAGAAAGAAAGGATAAAAGCCTAAAAAAAGTTAAAAAGCAGACTAAAAGACTGGAGTAACTCACTTATTCACTTCTTTAACCCTAACCTCTTTAACAAACAGTTCCTATAGTGATTTATATATATGATATTTATTCTCTGTGTTTATTTCCTCACAGCTCCTCCCAGCCTCGTCTCCAACACTCCTCGTCTTTAATCCGGACTGTAAAGACTCTGACTGTGCGCGGCCCCGGCTGATGATTCAGGTAAAAAGAAGCTTTTAATGTGTTTTCTTGCTGCCAGAGATGACTTCATGCTGATTTTGCAAGTGATATCGCCCTATAGAGAGAGGCAGGAGCAAGCTGCAACAAAGCAGCTCTGAGGAATTTGTGTGAAATCCTGAAAGTAACCTCCTCCAAACATTTCCAACCATCATCACATGATCACTAACCAAACGGTCCCAAAACAAAAAGACCGTTTCCCAGGAAGTCGATTTTCCCTCTTCGTGTATTTTTAGGAGGAAAAATGTTGTGAAAGTAATTTGACCTTTTCAGATCTGATCTCCAGAGTCTGATAGGAGTTGTTGTTGTCTTGTTAGATCTTGCCCTCAGAGTGTGTCGACGGCTCTACCTGTACAATTAAACACACACACGTATGATCATGATTCAGCACTAAAGCTGCTGTGCATTACTGCAGAGACCTCAGCTCTGATCTGATCCTCACCTTCATCCTCGCCCTGTGGCTACAGCTGACATGTTTGGATGTGTGAGCATGCTCCACTTTAGGAATAAACCTTCATAAATATCTGATCCAGTTTATTTCTATATCACACTTTAAAAAACATTCAAGTTTACCAAAGTGCTGCACAATAACATTAAAAGAACAAACACTACAGAGAACATCACGAGGAAATAAGAGCAGGTAAAAAACAAAATAAAATAAAAACACAAAAGCATAAACGACATAAAAGGACAGAGATCACACAACCCTCACGCTGAGTTTTGAAATCTGATTTAAAGTAGAAAGAGTCGGGGATGTTTTAACCTCGATTCGTTCCACATTTTGGGAGCCAGAGCGGAGAAAGTTCGGGCGCCACAAGTTTTTAAACAAGTTTTAGGGACGACGAGTTGGAGCTGATCAGCTGACCTCAGAGAACGTTTAAGAGGTCAGAGATGTAGTGTGGTGCTGATCCGTTTAAAGATTTAAAAACAAACAATAAAATTCTAACAGACGTTACAGACGTCCAACCAAAG